CCGCGCTGTCAGCACCAAATTTTATATTTGCTCTGCAGTGTACTATTTAAATAAAAAGGATACACTTCTTACGCAGTTCGTGAAGTTACAGAGAGTGAATTTTAGAGGTTACCAATCGTGATTTCTTAGCCATTTTATGTAAAAAACAACGCCTCTTTTCACTCTGAAAAAAGTTCGTGACGGATATCCATCTAAATAATCTTAAATTCCCTTTTAAGGTACGACTTTAAAATCAAACGAAGTAGCCTGGAAACGAAGCAAAAATCTTTCAGTACTTTTTGCTCTCTCCGTTTAACTATTGACGTCAAAGTTTACGGAGAAAAAATTACGGAGAAGACTTCCAGAGATTCTTGATTTCCGCTTAACTGATGGCAAATTAAATAAAATCTAGGAAAAACGTCAAGTCTATTAATGCAAAAAGTCATCGCTTTTGCGGGAAAAAAACCTTTCAAAATTTGACGTATTAAAATGATGCCGTGCTTTCGTGTTCCTCGACTGACATGCGTCAAAAATAATTCCGGTCCTGCCATAGAGCCTTTCCCGACAAAACATCTCTCATGACGTCCAGAAATTGAGGAATTTTCCACTAAGATATGAACACATGAAAACACACCTTACACGTGTACTATTCCACACTGTCGCGTGGAGTTATTAGTTTTTCACTTTGTTCGATTAAATTTTAGGCAGACGACTCGGGGAAGTGGCACTTTTTTGCCAAAAGTAAAGTTGCCGCAGCTTAGAACGCATTGAATTTTCGATTGAAACTTTTCTCTTTCTTTGACTATTGTAAACTTTTTTGATGCAACTCATCTCTAATCTCCGCCGAATATCTGTCTCTCGCGAATGAGAAGATTTGAACTGAGGTATTATACTACTGGCATTAGTTGCCCTATCGAGTCAGGCACCGTTGAAAATGTTGAACATCGACGTAATGAAAATGAGTCATTTATCCAAGATGTCTTTAAAGCTTATATTTTTATCTTTGAAATCCATCTTGCGATATGTTCTTGAGTTATTCGACTTTATGCTGGAAGAGGGAGGCTCATGTTATTATCAACACACTAATAATGAACATCCCCCTTCCGACAAATTTCCATTTGCTCATCGTGTATTTGGCATTATTTTCACTAAATTGTGTTTTTTAGCTGTTCACGTAGCTGATCCCCATATTGTCCTTTCTGATTTTTTTGGGGGGGAGGATTAGGGAGGTAAGCGGTATTTTCCTTGAATCTGCACATTACTTTGCAATTCTGTTACCGTCGAGATAAAATATTGGCAATGAGTTTCTCATGCGATAATTAAAGAATCTTGCTTTATCCCTGATCAATGGAGTTTTTTTTCTTTCTTTTTTTTTATTTTTTTTTCGAAACTTTGCCATTAGGAAGGGAAGCCCTCCTAATGACTCCCTGTAATGAATGCCTTTAAATCAAAAGGAACTATATCCATTGTGGTATGAGCCTTGCTATATGCAAGTATTCTAAAGAGCCTAAGGCGTGTCAGAATGGGTTTAGTTCCTTTGGATTTAAAGGCATCTCTTAAATAAAACCCAAACACTCATGCTCATCAGAGATTGGCTTAGAAAAGCTCATAGTGAACAGGACAGGTTAATGTAAAGCTCTCCAATTTTGCAACCCTAAAATGGATCGCGTTAAGCAGAAAGGAATTCAGCGACATCAGCTATTGCCAATTTAATCGGGCAATTTAATTTTTCACAAGAGAACGTTTGTGCGGATTCCTTTGACAATTTTGAGAGATTTGCTTCGCACTATGCAGAAAATTCACTGAAATTTGCACAAAAATCCGTACAACAGTTTTTATGAAAAAAGAAATTAAATTGCCCACTTAAATTGGGCAATAGCTGATGCATAGGCTTGGTTCATTTCTGCCTAACGCGATCCAAATAAGTTGCATGTTGCAAGAATTGAGACATTTTGAGAGCATTGCGATGCAAATTTTATATTTTTGCTAAATTTTAGTACTTTCATCGCAAATGATAAATATACAATCTTAGCAATATTGCAATGCTCTTGGTACCTTTTTGCAAAATGTAATCGAAACGTTTTTTACAAGGTAACATTTGTGCGGATTCCTTTGAAAATTTTGATTCGCACTATGCAGAAAATTCACTGAAATTTGCACGAAAATCCACACAACAGTTTTTATGTAAAAATCTGTGTAGCCTAATTAAAATTGTCAATAGTTGAAAGTGGCTTGGTTCCTTTTCGCTTATGCGGTCCAAATGTAGTTACTCTTTTTCGTCTAGGAGCCGACGATTTGCGACGAACGCAACCTGCCCTTGGGCCGGATGGTGTTGAAAAAGGGATAGGGTTGCAACATGGCACCTGGGAGCTGAAACGACTTGGCATGTCTATAAATGAATTTCAGTTGTCAGCAGGAGAACGATGAGTGATTTCAGCCCGGGAACGGGGAGGCGCTTGAGACGGTTTCTTTTATCCGCGGCGATGATGGATGAATGGTGCTCGGTGCATCCTCGTTAGTCTCCATTTCACTCCTGTACACACACGCCGCCCGGCTTCCCTTCAACTTGCCAAACTTTTTCCATTGAAATCGAACAAACTTTGACGGGGCATCATGGTAACCGTGTGTTTTTAGCATACGCCGCTGTGGATTCTTCACAGGAGGAGAAACTGCCGCATATCCACGCCAAGAGAGACGGATTTTGAGTTGTTGATCGGTTTTGCTCGGTAATGAAATGTGTGATGGGCGACGGAAAAAGAGGGCTTGGAACTCAAATCATCACCTTCCGGCTAAAGTATCAAAAGCGTCATGTGATATTCCAAAATTTCCGCCGCCATTGGATTTTTTTACGGAGAAATTGTTGGTTGAATGTGTTTGAAAATTTCACTAAATTTTATCGGCAGCACAAAGAAAGTTCAGTTACTTTTTTTGGACAGCTTCGGCGAACAATTTCTCTGTAAAAAAATAGAACAGGGGCGGAAACTTTGAAACATCGCATGGTGCTTGTGATATTCTTTGGTCGAAAGGTGACGGAATATCGATGGCGAAAGTGGAAAACCACGATTCTCCACCACAAGTGGCACAGATTGCAATAAGATGGTGAAATTGCTGCTGCTACATCGGAGTGTTGTGTATATTGACTATCTACTGATCGAAGGAATACTTCCAATTGAAATTTATTGCGGTACAATTTAAATAGGTTGCAATTGTTCATTGCATTGCATATTGCCTTTTTTCACAAATGGAAATTATTCCATTGATTATTTAAAATCGGAATTTATGGATCAAATTATGTAAAAATATTGCCATTATGAGGAAAATGGGAATTTTATTGCATTAATCCCAATTTTATTTCAATATTTGTGTTACACTGAGCTACTTGAGACTGTGCTTTTTCCAAATTCTCGCTCCTGTTTGATTTTTTTGAGGTGACATTAGCCAATTTTAAAGATTGGAATAAATAAAGTTGCAGTTTGAACCTAGCTTATGATTAATTTCAAGAGTGTTCTCCTAATGCTGGAAAGAAATGAAACATTCTTTTTAATACTTATCGAACGATCAAGTTTTCGTGTCTTCGACTACTAACCCAAAGTGGCATCTTGTTAGAACATGCGGAACATTTGAAATACAAACCCGCATGGATTACATAGTGGCTCAATCTAAAAATATGCTATTTTCGTTTCATTTTGAAAACGTACAAATCCAAGCAAACCGTAATGCCTGCTAGAAGTTTTTTTTTATTTTACGTAAAAGTCAGCGTGACTTTCCTGTTTGTGACTCAACGCCTACGGCACTGTAATTTCAGCACCTTATTTAGATAGTTGCCATGAACAAGATTTTGACGGCTGTTTTGAGCAAAATCTAGGAGTGATATTTTCGTGGGTGTAACACTGATGGCATGCAATATTAAGTCGAACCTAAATGATGCCTGGAAAATACTGGCTTTTCAATAAAGATTGCAAAGCAATAAAGAAGCGCATTCACGCCGACACTTCAGCGGCTCAAATGCGACATTCAATTTACTTTTCAAGAGGGACACTTCTTGTCAGGAACAGAATGGCCCTTGGTTACTCCTTTGGAGACTATTTGACTTTAATCTATTAGCACACTTGGGAGTTGAGCCGGTAAACAAACTTAGAATGAAAGTCTGAGAGACGGGTGACACTCGTAAAATCATAATGCAAGGGCCGAGTGATTGCGTATCGGCTAGTGTTTGCTCAACGTTCACTGACATTGTGCAATAATTGATTTGCTGGGTCACGCCGTTTGATGGGGGTGGGAAGAGGGAGGGGTCGTAATTTTGAGACGTGTTTGAGCTTTACAAATCAAATGATTGTGTACGGCTGTCAAATTGGAGTGGGAGTGTCAGACGGACTAAAAGCAGCTAAAAATGGGCCTGAACCCTTAAATTTTGCTTTAGAATGCTAGACAGTCCGTTTGTCAATATCTTTTGTCGAAGATTTTGAGGGATGACAAGTAGATTACACTCTTGGATCTAGTCTCGTGTAAGTAATTTGAGAATGTTTTTACCGAAATTGTTCCTTTTGGTGGGGCTCACAGTAAAGAGGTTAATTTCCTTGAGAATCCTCAGAAATATTTCATGCCTCAAGCAAAAAGCATTTCTAAATATAGATTAATATTATACTCATAGACAATTAATTGTCTCTTGAAACCCCTGTTACGGATAGAATTATTGATTAAATAATTACAATGTATAAACTTGATCTCAATAATGCGAAGTTCATAAATCCACAAGATATTCTAAGTGAATATTTTAATGTGGTGAAAAAAGCTCATACAGTTCAAGATAGATTGGAGGGACAAACTGAAAATGAGAAAAAAGATAATGTTTCATTGAGTTCATTGACTTGCAAGCACGAGTTATTTGATAATGTGGTGTGCTGATATGAAATTTTAGAGGATTTCACATAAATTTTAAGTGATGCTCAAATACGTCAGGTGTAGGACACTAAAATTTCACATGCTAAAATTGATGAGCTTTAATTAAAATAAGAAAAAAATTTGAAAGATAAAATATTTTATATTCATTTTCATTAACAAAAATCAGAGTGCAGAACATTAAATTAAAAAATAACAATATTTTTTATATTTTTGTCGTAAAACGTACCACTGCGATCTGTAGAGTAATATTTATATGGAATAAATTACACTAAACTTGCTTTTTCTTTGATGTTTTACAATTTATACGTCAAGTTTTTCGAGAAAATCAATACATTTTGATAGTTGTGTGGTTTATTGAAAATAAATATCTATGTCTGAGTCGTGAGTACACACTAGTATCATTTTCAATCAACTGGATACAAAGATTTAAAATGATTAACTGATTTAAACGCTTTAAAATATGGACAGGTAAAATAATATTTTCCGAGATGTTTCATCTGAGTCAAAAGTTATTTCATAGATGATATTTTTGAATTTTTCAAATGCGAAAAAAGTAGACCAAGATTCTAACTTTCACTCAGCTATTATTAATATATGTTCAATGGTTCTCCACGTTGAAAATTGCGCTAGTTAAGCATGCAAGTTCCATAAAAGTATGTAAAAAAAACAAAAATAAAGGAGAAGTTAAAAAAAATTGCGTTGCGTCAGAATATCCAGTATTAGAATGTAAGCTACATAAGAAGATCCATCACTTTTCAAGATTTGTTTTATTCCATTGAGAAAATTGTGATATAAGCTATAGCAATTCAACAATCTGGTATTTTTACATCAGAGAAAATATATCATTCACAAGCTAAAAGTTGAAAATTTTGAAGCTGAAGCCATCGATTCTGTTCTGACTATGATTCATCCAAAATCAGAGACTTCAAAAATTACTGAAATGGTCTTTTTTTCTTGCACTTTATGTCACTGAAAAACTATAGATGTGTATGTATGTGCATCTGAATAATTACATTTGTTTGCGTGATACTGCGTCGTACTCTGCACTCTAATCACGTGAAAATTCAATTACAGAGGAACCTTCAATATAAGCTGATGGGGTGGTTCAAACATACCCAAATTAAGAAAAAAATGTTTTGTAACAATTTAGCAACAGACGAAAAAGAAAAATTCAGAAGAGTAAATTAATGGAATCTTGAAAAAAATTCAGAAGAGTAAAATGGTGGAATCTTGAATATTATACCAACATAGAGATTCATTAGGTGAGGTTTGAGTCGTCTATTTGAAAAGCGTACATATCGGTAAAAAAATAGATCAATAAGCAACGTAAGTATTCAGATGGTAGAATTTCATAAGGGTCAAAATTTTTCGTGAGCTACAGAAGAAGTCAAACAGAGAAATTATGAAGATGATGTTAAATTCATTTGCATGGCTTGCGGAAAGGCAGAATTTACAAGTGCCAGCAACAGTACCAACAACTGTATGAGTAACAAGAGAGCTAACACCATTCAAAGGAGGATGTTCTAGGAAATTTGTCATTTTCTATCTGACTTTATGTGCGTCATTTGCCAATAATGAGAAATAGGACCGCGTAAACCTATTTTCACATCAAATGAAATACGTGTGGCTGTTGATTAGCTGAAGGTCTTGCTGTATGATAAAAGTTACTGAGCTGACTGGAACATCCTTTTTAATCATGATATATTATTCTAAAAGATAATGTTTTGATCAAGTTTCCACAGTGCGTTCAAATATTTTCTGTAAAAAGTATGTTTTTCGACTTCCCAAGTTTTTAAAAACACGCAATGTGAGATAAATTTCGACACATTAAAACATATCGACCATTAGCACGCCAGATTTGTAACCCTGTGAGAGAAATCCTCTTGAGGAGAGAGCAAAATAAGGAAACTTCATATGCACCGGTTCCACGCGGTGCATTCAGAAGCGGGTTGCGATATACGACACGTAACACCTACTTTAAAATGAGACTTAGATTAGACGAGAAAACAAAATTAATCACAGCTTGAATCCCCCGCAAAACACGCCTCATCTCAGGGGTGCATACTTTGCGAAGTGCTTAACCTAGGTCCGTACAGGGAGTACGGGGGGAAATAGGGGGGTAAACTCGACGGTGGGTGGAGGGGAAACGAAGAACTAAGTCCCGGAGGCAGTAACGAGGGTTTCGAGTAGGGGTGATACCTGGCCGTGGCCAGGGGACTGAGAGGGGGCGTCGGGTACGAGCGGGAGAGGATAGGGTGCGTAGGAGATCCCAGCATATCGGAGGTGTGCGTCCGCAGGTGCTGCAGGAGTTCCTCCGAGGTGGCGAACCTCTTGCCGCAGTAGGTCGCCTCGCCCGCGATCCACGAACACACGTAGGGTAGCTGAGAAGCGGCCGCCAGGGCAGCCAGCTGCGCGTGCGCGTACGCCGTGGCGATCGAGGACTGCGCGTGGGCGTGCGAATGGGCGTGGGCCGGGAGCTGCTTGCCGTCGCACTGGGTGCATCCCGCCGGGCACAGCTTGCCGCCGAGGAGGTGGGAGCTGAGCTGGCAGCCGGCGCAGTAGGGGTCCCTGCAGACGGGGACCACGGCCTCGGACCCGTTGACAGTCTTCATTCTCGTATAGCCCAGGTAGGGGTTCAGGGTGCCGGGCTTGGGGTAGGAGAGGAGCCCGGACGCCATGACGTCGAGCGGTAACGAACACGGGTAGCCGAGGTAGCCGGCGGAGACGGGGGCCTTGGAGGCGGGCGTGTCTTCGGGGCGCGAGGTGGCCGGGAGCTCCTGGGTTGTCGCCGGGGTCTTCCGGGTGCCGGGTGAAGAGGTGGAGCCGCCGGAGCCCGAAGAGGCGCTCTCTTTGCTGCTGCAGCGGGAGTTGGAGTGGGATTGGAGCTTCGACGGCGTCTTCACGCGGACGCTTTTGTCGTCGGCGTCTTTGTGTGAGAGGGACTCGTAGGGCTTGAAGCTCGACTTGGAGGTGACCGGCGAGCAGCTGCTGATCGAGGAGGCCGGGGAGGCTTTGTCGCGAGAGTCGCTTTTCTTCGACTTGTCCGACGAGGAGATGCTCTTCATACTCGAGGAGTCCGCTCCGATTTGACTGCAGGTTTGCGCCAGTAATGCCAAAGGGCTGTTCTTCGAGTCCAGCTGCAACAAAAAAACAAGAACCAAATTATTATATAATAATTATATTATAATTTTGCAGAAATTAACATTGATGAAGGAACAAGAAGATTACAAAGTACTGGAAAAAAACACACTGGAGCTAGAGTCCAGACTCTTGAAAACATTGACAAGAAAAAATACTCTTGATTCAATCTGATTTTTGCTTACATCAAAAGGAAATCCGCTCAAATTTAGAGGCTTCGTTCTTGATTTAAGCAAAAATCATCAAATTATTGAATCAAGAGTATTTTTTTTTTTGTCGATGTTTTTAAGAGTCCGGACTCTAGATCCAACGTGTTTTTTTTCCAGTGAGAGGATACAAGATACAAGATAGTAAGGAGAATCTGTAAAGGCACCATTTTGGCTTAGCTGAATCTTAGGTGCGGCACAATGACTGGACTAGTGCATATTTCTTGTATTTTATATCGTCGCTTGGCTGACATAAGGGCGGAACTACACATTGAGATGAGCTCGGCAAAGCATTAAGTTGCATGGATGACGGAGTTCATTGCAGAGTGCAGTTACGCCCTTATGTCAGGAGGGCGACAAAATATTCGTTAGAATGTAACGCAAAGATGGAAAAGTGGCTCCTGAAATGATTTTCATAAAATCAATGAAAGTCACGTGTGAGGAACTCAATATTCATAACCGCCTCAAACATTTGGTTCCAGCAATGTAAAGTAATTCGTGATGAAATTGTCTGCGAAACTTAAATATTCATGGCTCATTGGTAAATCAGTTCATCATGAGGTTGTTTTAACAATAACATCCTATGAGCCATGCACGAGCTGGATGTAGGTGTTTATTATTACAAGTGGACTCTCGGTAATTCGAACCTCGATAATTCGAAAAGCTCATTAATTCTAAGGAAAGTCTGTTTCCCTTGAAAATCTCTCGACAATTCGAAGAAAATCAGTGTATTTTTCTCCCCTCATTATTTTGAAATTTTGTCTTTGTCAATCTTTAGTCAAATCTTTGACAAAACACTGATACTATGAAAAAAAAAAAAAAAAAAAACTTGCGGGATATGTGCCCATGATATACCATGTGCTCCTTTTATAATACTCCTTATTTCAGTCCCTCACCCTCCACAAAGTCACAGAAGTTTTGATGAAACGCATCTGTTCTTCTAAAATAAATTGAAATTCAATATAATTTTTCCAAATTCGAGCTACGAAGTCATCTACAAATCCTTACGCAAGGATACCATCGTTTGATCTTTCTATGCCTATTTTTGAAACCACCGCCGCTATTTATACAGTCTGGCAGCCATGGGCGCGGACAGAATTAACGAACATATCTTCCTGAAAGTTTTAAACAAACTAATCTCGGGGTGGATCTTTGCCTTGTCTGTTTGCGACAGACGACTTAATTTGTTCTTCGCCGTCGAATAGAGCATGACATTCCGCTTCGGGAGGTGAATTCAATTTATGCAAAATATGGTTTTTCGCACAGCTCAGACAACTTTTGCTCGACAGTATGAACGAACATCTGAACGACTTCAGCTCAACGGGTTTCATGCATAAATGCAATGGATTCAGGTTTGACTTGGATTAAACACCGAGGGAGACTAAACAGGAAATTTTGCAGCCATATTGTAGTGAATATGAAATGCATTTCAAACACTATGACCAAGCAACTTAGCTTTGAATACCATTTAATACCTCCCCATTTACGATTTTCACACAAGGGATGTGATGAAAACGACGGTTAAAACATTTGAAGTTTGAAGTAGAAGTGCGACTACAAAATAAATAACATTTCCTCGGATACTACACATCCTTAGGAAATTGTAAAATTCTGCATGATTGTTTCAGAACTAGATAAAGGGATACATTTGTATTTTAAGGATATGAAAATTCTTATAAATTACGATTGTCTAACGCAAAATTCGTAGAATTTAAATCGATTTTTGATTCAAGTTCTTCAATTTAACCCAGACGGTTGGTGGATGATAAAATTTTGTAGGGATGCATTTATCCACGCGCAGGTAGGACGGAAAGGTCAAGATGCTTTTTTTCTTTGACAAAAAGCGTAACTGACGGAATTGTAAAATTGAATAAAAGGTTTTTTTGGAAACAAAAATAGATGCAACTGTGTAATTTGTGTCTAAAATGTGGTTGCCTTTTGCGTGAAATCTGAATTCAATTTAGTAAAATTTAATCTCGTAATCACACTGCACACTACCACTATACAAACACTATTAATATTAATTTTTTTTTTAAAAATTAATAGTGTTTTAGTAAAAATACAATTTACACGAGGAAATTCAGTGACGTTGGAGTATAATATCACGTTCTTTTGTCTGTGAAACGACGGCTTATGTAACGTATCGATATAATTCCATAAGCACGAGTGGAAGAGAGGTTATCGATAGACAATCAAAACAGGTTTCGACGGAGAATTTCCACAGTGACTTCACGTCCAAAACAGTCCACCTTGCGAGATGCGTTGATGAACGCATAAAAGCTGAGCATAAAGCACAGGTAGCAAAGCGGAGACTGCGGGCTGTTATTTCAATATTCACCTTGGAGGCTGACAGGAATGAGGAGGGATAAATCAGGACTCGGGAGCCAGTCTCGACTGAAAGTTGCACTATCGTTGCGTTGGGCGAAAGGAGTGGATGGAGTAAGGAAGGCGCGAAAAGTTGGAGCCATTTGCCTGGGAAACCCTGATACTGCGTTATTACCATCGAACGTGTTTATGAATCATAACGCAAGCCGCGACCGGCGACCGCGCGGCGCTGAGGCCAGGGCCGAGGGAGAATTTATGAGCAAGTTGCTAATGATCATGTAATGGAGACCTGGAGCGATGAAATAGGGGTTTTGTTCAGATTGGCTCCTTTTTTAATATCCCCAACCGGTATGTTTTATTGGTCCCGTCTCAGGAGTGTAGAGAACCTCAAGACACTGTGAATGGGGAGCGCCGTAATTTATGGTCCAATTACATAGTGTATAAACGCAGTCTTGCCGGGCGCTCATCGTACCGTATCGTTTTTCAAATAGTTCAGAAATAACAATGGTGAATAAATTTAACATAAAACTGTTGTAGGTGGCTCCGAATAAAATATAGATAAAGTTCACTAAAGATAATATCCTATTATTTATAACAAAACAGTGCCTTTTTTGGAAATGAAAATTTAATGTGTCCCATAAATTTCTTTTATGACCCGAGTCACTGTCCGAAACTTTCGTCTTAAACCCGGACGTAAATTCAGCGTTTATTCTTATTTATGTTTTTTATTTTCACGTCCTTACCTATGCTTGTCGGCTAATGCGTTTCTGTTGATCTGATACGGCGGCAAATGAGTCGTTTTTCACCGCGGCGGCTTTCACACCTGGTTTGACTCCTTTTAACTCTGGTCTCTATTAGTCTGCTTCAGTAAGAGTTATTAAATCGTTTTATACGAGACGTAGTCTTTCTTTAATAGAGCCTCGTTGATTTCCGTAGCCTTTCATATTGCCTCCCACACATGTGACTATTAATTATTGGACATAATTTAGCGATAAGAAACAACTAATTCTGTCTTATTTCAGGATCAACGTGTGTGCCATTCATTTCTCTGTGTACATATGCGCCTTTATGAAGCCAGAATTGGTGGCTACGAACTGTAGTCCAATGGGTGTGGTCAAACTCAAAATCACTCCTTGAAACACTTCAATGTTTCAGAAACTGATTGGATGTATGCTTCTGTATGAAATTTAATTTTGCAATGGTCGCCTTTTTTTAACACATGCAACCGTTTCGCGCGGTAGATGATACTTTGAAACGCCTTTAACATTATAATATTTAAATTTACTCCCCCAAAAAAGGTTACGCAGAATCTGAATCCGAAAAAGATCGTCATTTTCCAGACAAAAAAATCTAACTTAAGTCCAAAATTGCAAATGTAAGTTAACTTTTGTTTACGAAAGTACACCTAAGAAATTATTTTCTTACCTAGAATGTTGGAAATGTGTAACAAAAATACACGAGAATACAGTGTCCCGTTCTAGATGACTGTTGGCTTCAAGCGCCTCCTTTTGCGAGGCAAGTTCGCCAAAAATCGATTGTTTTACATACATTTGAATGGAGAAAAACGAGTGTTGCCAACTTTCAAGAATTGCCCCTACGTATACATGTCAACGTTGCAAAATTTCCACTTACAAATCTTATTTCGCCAGGAAATTGTTGTTATGCTTTTCAATTGAAGAGTTCTTCTGATTACAAGCAATTTGGCATAAATTACACTGTCATATTGTTGTGAATAAGTCGATAGTTGGAGTATATATTTCAACGCTGAAATAGAGTTACTTTCCTTCGTCTATAGGTACCGACGATATGACTAACTGCACTGCACTTCAGCAGTCTTAAGTAATCTGTTCACGTCAAAAAATTGAAATCCCTCGATAAACAAAGATTTAATTTTATTATTCTTGGCTCAGAGCTCGCATTGTTGGTTTGTTATCAGCCTCAAAGATCGCGGATGTCGAAAACTTGCCACTTTCTTTTATGTGGCTTTTGTGGCTGACAAGATAAGTAAATCTACGATGGAATGGGCGAGAGAATCGAGGGACTATCGGAGGGACGAACGCAAGGGAAAACTGCTACTAAACGGTGGAACTTGAGGAGAGGTTAAAGTCGTGTAAGTGGAGAATTTAAGGTCAAAGATGAATAGAAAGAATGAAGATTGTAAAATCGCGGAAGCCAGCACGACAGGGACTGCTGTTCCCCGCTTGCCGCGTGGTGTGCCCCATGCAATGGTGCCAAGTTTTTAGTAAGTATAATAATATTCCGACAGGGAGAGTAAACATAGAGAGGTTAACATATAACAGTTAACACAGAAGGGTTAACATAGAGACGTTAACATAGAGAAGTTAACATAGAGAAGTATCGGCCCCAATCAAAGTCTAAAAGGACCTACACACTACTTCTCGTTTGAATCTTAGGACTTGATTACAGTTAACTCTCTTTCAACATCAGAACCAAACACATTTGAGACT